GGGAATGGAGGGTGGGCTGGGGGTAAGGGGAGGGCGTGGGAGGGGGGAGAATAGGGGAACCCATGACTGATATGTAGAACTGAATGGTATTGTAAAATAAAAAATATATATCACAAAAAAAAAAAGAAATATTTTTATTCATTTTACATACCAACCACAGATCCCCCTCTCTTTCCTCCTCCCACTACCCCTACCCTTCCCCCACCCCAGGCCACCCCCCATCACCTCCTCTAAAAAGGTAAGGGCTCCCCTCCTGTGGGGAGTCAGCAAAGCCTGATACATTCAGTTGAGGCAGGACAAGCTCCTCCCTCCCCCAGATCAAGGCTGAGCAAGGCATCCTACCATAGCTAATGGGCTCCAAAAAGACATCTCATACACCAGGGATAGATCCTGATCCCACTGCCAGGGGCCCCTCAAACAGACCAAGCTACACAACTGTCTCCTATATGTAGGTTTAAAGTTCCTGAGTTCCTACGAGCTTGGTTCAGTTGTCTCTGTAGATTTCCCCATCATGATCTTAAACCCCTGCCCTGCCTTGCTCATATAATCCCTCTTTCCTCTCTTCAACTGGACTGCTGGAGCTCAGCCTGGTGCTTGGCTGTGGATCTCTGCATCTTAAAGCACACATCTTGGTCTGGCGGTGGTGGCTCATGCCTTTAATCTCAGTACTCGGGAGACAGAGGCAGGCGAATCTCTGTGAGTTCCAGGCCAGCCTGGTCTCCAAAGCTAGTTCCAGGAAAGGTGCAAAACTACACAGAGAAACCCTGTCTCAAAAAAAATAAAATAAAATAAAAAGCACACATCTTGGCTGATGATGTCAAGAGCTTACCCAACATGTGCCAGGACTTGGATCTGAGGACCTTGGATCAGAACTGAAGAAGCAAAAACAGCAAAGCACACAGCACATGTTGCTTGCATGTTGCATGGCTCTGCTAGTAGAATGTGTTTGAGATCCCTTCAGAGTACTTTGGTTAGCTTTAGGTTATGTGAAGCTTGTATATTGTATGCATGTATCCAGGGAAAAACAGCCAATTGTCTCCTTTGGATGAGATTCGTTCAGTTGAAAAGTTTGTTTGGAATAATGCAGAAAAGTGCATTACCCTGCCCCATCTATTTTGTGATTTAACATAAACATCCCACCATGAAGTTGACTTCATACTATATATTTTTCTATATTGTTTTTCTCTTATAAGTATAAAGACCAAGCTTTATGCAATTCAGTTTGCATTAATGTTGATTGGATCAGATTAGGTGTAAGTACAACTTATAGTTTATTGCAGTTTCTTCATTGAAGATTACACAATACTTGGAAGGTTGTGATGAAGTGCTCAATTATCATATAAAACAAAAATATGTTCCTATGAAATAGTATTTAGTGTGAAAATTTAATACAATAATGGATAATGAATATATTTGAATTTACAGGTCAGAAATTTTTTTCAGCTAAAGCAGTGTCATACTACTTGGCATGTATCCCTAGAGTATATACGAGGAATATATTCCATGAGTGAATACAGCTTGAATCCCTTAGTTTGTTTTTTGTTTTAGAACTTTATGTCTGTACTTCTCTCTGAGAGATAGAGTCTATGGTGGGCTTTTATTTTTTTTTTCTGTCTGGTTGCAGTGGCACAAGCCTGAATTCTTAGCTACTTGAGTGGCTGAAGCCTGGGCATCACTTAAATCCAAGATGTCTGGGTGATAGTGCTTTTTGTTAACTGGATTTCTTCACTAAGTTAGCCATCAATCATCAATATACTCACCTTCTGGAAGCAGGGAACTTGCCAGATTGTCTTAAGGAGAGGTGAACCATCCAGGTTGGAAAAATATTTCTGGTCTTTCTTTCTTCACCTTCTTACCCTGAAACATTCAAAAAGTAGAATTTGCATTTCTAGACACTTCCAAGGGGAGATTTCCACTGCGGCTGCACTACACTTTGAGACCTATTGGGATAGTTGTCCAGCAAAAAGGCCCTGGTACCACCAGCACTGCCCTGTGTGAACTGGGTAACTAAGAGCATTTCTTGGGGTGGACTATATTTTCACTACAATGTACAGATAAGATGCTGTTCTGCCTACCTCCCTCAGGTAAAATCAAAGACCACATTCTGTGTAAATACAGCAGTGTTATCCTCAACACAAAGTAGGGAATGCTGGCTAGTACCACTGGCTTTCAAGCTATTATTTACCAAAGGGTACTTGGAATTGAGAAGACCTCTATTACAGCATGGGAATTCAAACTTGTAAGTTTTCTGAGAGTTGTCTTAATTTGCATGCTGCATAAATAGTAATATTTGTAGAGAACCTCATGACTCCAATGCATAATCAGGTCAGAGGAGCTGATTGCAGAGACAGTAAATTAATCTTCTTTTAGTACTAATTGGCACTGAAACTTGGTTCTGGTTCTGCATTTACTTAAAGCACCTTCATGTTTTCCTTCTCATTCTTTAATTTGTCCAGAAAACATTGAGCAAGAGCCTATGTGTGCTGGGGGCTGAGTTGGGAAGTTACAGTACTTGAAACCTTTGGAACATTTACTTATAATTTAAAGTGAAACTGTTTCATAGAGGAATGTGCCAATAAGCACTGTGGCGATGCAGAAGAGAGAAGGCCTGATTTTGCCTAAAGGGGTCAAGGAAGTCTTCCAGTTAATGTTGCTTTCTTTAGAAAGTGGATGTAGAGATATTGTCCAATCAATTCCAGAGTCCCACTCAGTATATCACCCTCCTAATGCAGAAGAAGGAAGAGTGGGAGCAGAGAGGAAGTGCAGTAGCTATTTAAGGAAGATGAGCACCTTCTAGGCATTTAGGATTCCTTTCATTTTAAACACTTTATCCTGAGTATTCAGTATGTTTGTTCATTCATTCATTCATTCATTCACTCACTCCTCCTCAGGCATCAAATCTCCACTTTAGTCTCCTGATTATAAATATTTTAGGGGCCTTCCAAACCTCTTAAAATCTGCTATGCCTGCGAAAACCATGCACAATGCAGCAGTGACGTAGTCACTACCTCCGTACCTCTTGCACCTTTCCTCTAAACTCTGCTGAGCCACACAGTTGATCAAGCCACACTTTGAAATTTGTCTCAATGACTTTGTTTGCTGTTTCTCCCACCTGGCTCTTCTCATCCTTCAGGTCTCCTCTGCCAGAGGTTTTTCTCTGCTAAATGAATCTAAGATTCTTCCTGCTTTAGTTCCCCTCTATCCCTCTACTAGAGCATTCTGGTCTAGTTCTTTGCAGTGTCTCATAGACTGAAACAATGTACTGGTTTGCTCTTTATTATCTACTTCCCTTATTCTGTTTCATCTCCAATATCAAGGACACACCTTTGCATAAAAGAGGTTCTTGGGCTGGAGAGATTAAGAGCATAGGCTTCTCATCTAGAGGTCCTGAGTTCAATTCCCAGCAACTACATGATGGCTCACAACTGTCTATAATGAGATTTGGTGCCCTCTTCTGGTGTGTAGGTATACATGCGGGCAGAACACCGTATACATAATAAATAAATAAATAAATAAATAAATAAATCTAAAAAAAAAGAGGTTCTTAATGCCCATATGAAGAATGAACACGTGCTTTGAAAATAGCTGTCAGGATTAGGAAAGGAGTTGTCAGTAGCACGCTTGAGAACTGTTTCTGGCTGAATCGCACAACTCAGGGCAAACTGAATGACAAACAAGTGCCCAGCTTTCCAAGCAGTGAGTTTGGGGTTTCAATGCTTCCTCCCTGTCACAAGGCCCTCAGCAGGAGCGACTAGGAACTTGCCTACCAAAGCAGCTATTAGGTACTGGCTGTTATCTTTTGCTTCACAGGATTCCCCCTGTAAAAACTGCCACCATAGATACCTAGGACACTGAGAATTCTACCTCACTGGATACTCTTCTCTCAGGTTAGCCAGCTGACATTGAATTACTAAGTACCCAGAATGCACAGCATCAGAGTAGGTGGGTATTCATAAGTGTCTGAGCATGGTTTTTGTTGACTTAACAGTGTAAAGGAAACAGATTGACCTGGTTCATTACTCTTGCTAACAGGACGTGCATCTTAAGAGGCCTGTGGCTGAGTGACATGACAGATGCTGAGTGGAAACTGGCAGCAGGTAGAGGGCATGTGTATAAGTGAAGAAGCAGAGTCTAGGTGTCCTCTCTGCTAGACACCCTTTCAGTACCACAAGGCAAGAGGCTCTGCGGGGCTTATTTGTTTGTTTGTTTTTGTCTGTTTTTTAATACATGGTCTTGCTTTGTATCCCCAGCAGGCCTCTCAAATTTTCACTCTCCCTGTTTCAGCTTCTAGACTGAAACATGGGCTATCATGCTGTGCTAGACCCTTCTTCATTAAAAATCTTCTACCTTCTAAATTGTGACCTTAGGACTAAGCATTCAAAACATGAACTTTTGAGGGATAAACCATAACCAAACCGTAGCTATAGGCATTGTTACATTTCAACCCTGTAAGTACTTGTCAAAAAGAAAGTGCCTTCTTGTATATAATAATCTGAGAGGAAATAAAAAGGAATAAAGGGATGTGATATAGATTCCATATCCCTGACGTGTGTCCAGAGTGACAAGAAATGTGGTGAGGTATTGTGGAATATCCGTTTAACTAGGCAAAGATGTGTTACATTTGTTTGTGTTGTGGAATATTACTTTAACTGTGTAAAGGTGTGTTACATTTGTTTATGCTGCATTTATTTAATCATGTAAAGATGTGTTGCTGTTTTACCTTGCCTGCCCAAGGCACCTGATTGGTCTAATAAGCTGAAAGGTCAATAGCTAGGCAGTAAGGAGATAGACAGGGCTGGTGGGCAGAGAGAATAAGTAGTAGGAGTAATTCAGGCTCAAGAGAATGAGAGGAGAGAGAAAGAGGGAAAAAGAGAAAGAGGCGCTGAGGGCCAGACAGACAGACTTGGAGTAGATCATACAGAATGAAAGAAAGGTAAAAACCCGAGGCAAAACATAGATGAATAGAAACAGATTAATTTAAGTTATAAGAGCTATGGGACAAGTATAAGATAAGGATTATGAGCATTCATAATTAATAATAAGTGCTATGGAATAATACTTCTGTACACTGTGAATATGTATTACTCTCATTGGTTAATAATAAAAGCTGTTTGACCTATAGCAAGGCAGGATAAAGTTAGGTGAGACAATCAAACTGAGGACTGAAATGAAGAAGGGCCGAGTTGAGAGAGATGCAAGTGAGCTGCCTAACATGCAAGACACCAGAGGACCAGTAATGCCATGGGCCATGTGGCAATACATAGATTAATAGAGATGGGTTAAGTTAAATGTAAAAAAGAGTTAATAATAAGTCTGAGCTAATGGCCAAACATTTTGTAATTAATATAAGCTTTTGTGTGTTTATTTGGGACTGGGCTGTTGAGACAGAAAAACTCTGCCTCCATTCACAAACAAATCTTCTTGCCCTGATTTGGGAGTTGGTTGGTGGTACAAAAGAAAGTCTGTACAGTGAGGTGTTTGTTAAATCAAAGTATGAAGTGAGTTGTAATCATAAAGTGGAATGAACAAATTGAACATTGAATACTTTAGGGCTAGTGGTGTGTGTGTGTGTGTGTGTGTGTGCGCGCGTGCGTGCGTGCACGCGCGCACGCGCGCGCACCATGCAACACTGGGAATAAATATTACAATTCTATAGACTTTCTCAGTCCCTACTAAAGACTAGCTACAGCTTTGATATAAAATAAATTCATGACGTTAGATAAAGCAGTATTGTTTGGTGGAATTTTCTGCAATAATGTTTTATGATCTATACTCTACAAGAAGGAGGCCACTACCATCACATGTGACTTTCGAGAATTTGAAATGTGTCTAATACATTTTTATCTAAATTATGTTAAAGTGAAACAGCCACAGAACCCCAGTGGCTACTGTACTGGACAGCCCAGGCTTAAGGCAAAGACTGAATTTGTGTTCAGAGGAAGGTGCAACACAGCCTGTCAGTTTCTGTTAAAAAATATTATTAGGAGGAAATAACTTATATGGGCTAGCTCTGTAACATCATGATATGTTCTTATCTTGATAAAGTAATATTTCTGAATATTGTATTGGAATCATTTATATTACCTTTAAAATGAGGTGGTTTACAGCTTATAGTTTGCTCCTATTTTTACAGCATGTATTCTGAAAAAAAAATGTACTATGTCTATTGAGTTTGCAAACTTTGGTGCTGAGACTTCTATAATTTTCACCTGATTGTGATGACAGAAGGAAAAAGTAATTGGAATTGTGGTTGAAGTGGATACTCTGCAGAATTTTCATTCACTAATTTAAATAAATCAACGTTTTCCTTGTGTGTAAAATTTTTTGAAATAAATGCAAAATTGTCTTAAGAAAGGGCTCATAAATATCCATGTCCTTTCTGGATATCATTTAGTTAATAAGAGGGAGAGAGATAGAGAGAGGGAGACAGAGGAGGTAACAGAGAGAAAGCACTGTTAGCTAAAATTTCAGAATAAGAAATAGTCTCTAAGGTTAGAGGAATGTCAAAGACAAAATTTACATAATCCATTCATCACAACCCTATCCAACAAGTATAATCCAGATCAATAACCTACCAGAATCTAATCAATACTCCATAAGGACACAATCATTCAACAGCCCTGTCTACTTCATCCACATCTCCTTACCAATCTTGCTTTGACTCCCCAGAATATGGAGCAACTCTGACTCATTGATATAACGTATTCTTACCAACCAGGATCAACACACAGAACAGAAGCTCTAGGATATTAATAGTTTCACAAATTAGAAACCCAAGGCAACCCAGGTCAAAATCACCACTGGGGAAAACCAAGGCAGTTTTACCTGAACAGAATGAGAAAACTTCCTTCCTGCCTCCTAAAAAGGGAGCGGCTGGGTTTTAACGAATACTCTTACCATGTAGTTTGTA